CTTAGGAACCAATGAGATCTTGGCATCTATTTAAACATGGCATTGGTAAAGGTCGAACAAGGGCACTTTGAGACCGCTATCTTGATCCTTCACAATTTTTTCGTCTTTTATTACGGGTACAGGTGTTTGGAAGCATTACATAAAATATCTTCATGATTCAAACGCTGTGAACAGTGATGCAGCTGTTTAAGGGTTCATATTTAAGTGTGGATGCGGCTTCGAGGCATTTCTGACCTAATTCGGCTATCGGCACAACGCACGTCAGTATGAGTTCTGTTTCACCTGCTACAACTGGGTAGAGTATAAAAGATCATATATTTTCAAATCTCTTCCAATGAAGCAATAATTGATATTTAGATATAGACTTTAATTCGAAAGTATGCGCCCTATAAAATGTGGTTTTAGAAGTTTAAAAGGCAGCTTATTTTTTTGAAAGCTGTATCGAGTATTGTTAATCCTGTAAACAAGCTTTAAAAATATTATTTTCTCGCTTACAAAGTTCAACCGACCTTTTTCGTTCTATTTAGTAAAGATGCGTAACTTAAGTAGAAACAGTAGCGTTAGGGAATAAAATTGGAAGAAGCTAGTTGACACAATAATTAGATACTGTTATATTGAGTGGAGTAACATGATATAAGTAGAAATATATTTCGGCAGTTTGATAATTTTCTTGGAAGTTAATAAATGTTAGGCTATCAACCTTGACGTTGCATGAAACATAATTTAATTGCAGATGTTGTAATAAAGCCGAGGTGATTTCTTAAAATCGTTTGAGAAAATTTTGTAGTAAAACAATTTGCCTCTTTTTTACGTACGAATTGTGAAAGGGCCAAAGACCAACATCTTCACATGCAAATTGTGTGCATGAGTTATTTTTATAATTCTGTTTACTAGATTACTGTGTGATAACTCGAATTCCCTCACGTACGAACCACGAAAGGGGGCAAAGTCCAACACTTTCACGTGCCAGCTGTGTGACTGTACATCTCATGCAGATTGGCTTTTCACAATAATAATAGTAACTTGGACGTATGAAGACCTGTTTCGTTTAGTAACCAATGCCTTAAAAAAGGCTCTTGTCTTTTAAGAAGCAATGGCTTTTAAAACATGACGAAATAAGTTGTCGGAGTTAAAGACTGTTTCACAAATGTTAATAAATGTTAGGTTATCAACCTTGACGTTGCATGAAACATAATTTAATTGCAGATGTTATAATGAAGCCGAGGTGATTTCTTAAAATCGTTTGAGAAAATTTTGTAGTAAAAAAATTTGCCTCTTTTTTACGTACGAATTGTGAAAGGGCCAAAGACCAACATCTTCACATGCAAATTGTGTGCATGAGTTATTTTTATAATTCTGTTTACTAGATTACTGTGTGATAACTCGAATTCCCTCACGTACGAACCACGAAAGGGGGCAAAGTCCAACACTTTCACGTGCCAGCTGTGTGACTGTACATCTCATGCAGATTGGCTTTTCACAATAATAATAGTAACTTGGACGTATGAAGACCTGTTTCGTTTAGTAACCAATGCCTTAAAAAAGGCTCTTGTCTTTTAAGAAGCAATGGCTTTTAAAACATGACGAAATAAGTTGTCGGAGTTAAAGACTGTTTCACAAATGTTAATAAATGTTAGGTTATCAACCTTGACGTTGCATGAAACATAATTTAATTGCAGATGTTATAATGAAGCCGAGGTGATTTCTTAAAATCGTTTGAGAAAATTTTGTAGTAAACAATTTGCCTTTTTTTAACGTACGAATTGTAAAAGGGCGAAAGACCAACATCTTCACGTGCAAATTGTGTGCGTGAGTTATTTTTATAATTCTGTTTACTAGTTTACTGTGTGATAACTCGAATTCCCTCACGTACGAACGACGAAAGGGGGCAAAGTCCAACACTTTCACGTGCCAGCTGTGTGACTGTACATCTCATGCAGATTGGCTTTTCACAATGATAAATAGTAACTTGGACGTATGAAGACCTGTTTCGTTTTGTAACCAATGCCTTAAAAAAGGCTCTTGTCTTTTGAGAAGCAATAGCTTTTAAAACATGAAGAAATAAGTTGTCGGAGTTAAAGACTGTTTCACTGAGTAGAATCGCACGTGAAAACCTCGTGAATTATGATGATGCAACCATCTACCACAATGATAAAAATCCTGGTATTTCGTAACTATTCAGTATTCGATGAGTCACATTTTGGCTTAAGAAACTCCGAGGAAACCTTAGAGTTTTCCTTCTAATCAACGTTTGGTGAGTAGAAATTTATTTCACTTTAACGATTTGTTTAACTTGCACCAGATGTAACAGGGAAAGACAGAGGAAAGTGAATATATAGCTTGAGGATCGACTCAGCTGAGCGTTTCGCGTTTTCATTTATGCACCGCAATACGCAATTTTGCATGAAAACCCAATCTACATTTAGGATGAAAGAGGTAGATTCATCACTCTTGGTAAGGTTACACCGAAACATTAAAGTTACACTGAAGCATTCAAAAT